AAGACCATAACAAGCTACCTGTTTTTAGGAAATCTTTGATGGCTTGCTTTGGCCTTCAGACTGGGTCTTCTAACTGTTACTGTCTCTTATCTTACATCCAGAAATGACAACACTTTTGAGGTTGTAACACATAAACTTGGGTTTCCTCAGACTACAAGTTTGGCTGGAAGCTTGTTCATTTTTATAGGATAGGTCTTCCTTGATCTCACTCCCATTATTTTTGGCCATGCTTTAAAATTCAAAGTGTGCATGTTGGAATTAATGTATGACCATATGTTTGACTTCATGCTTGAACATGTAGCACTTTGTAACGTTTTAAAGTGCTTTACAAATAATGTTTTCTTCTTGTTCTCCACAGCATGTACGTATTTTGAATAAAAACATATGCATTTGATGTGGAACAACCCATCTCCATTATCCCAAAGTTAATATCCAAATTGAGGGTGTGCTACTTAACCCTTTAAAGTCAAATGTTCATTTTTACTTTCTTTTTAAAAACAAATGTCAAATTCCTGTAATTATTTCATGGTACACTCTGTACAGAGTTAACACTTATCTGGATGTAGGGTGAAAAAAAGGCAATTTTTGAAATTTGCCAAAATAAAGACGTTTTCAGGGGTAAACTGCAACAGCTGGTGTTTGTGACAACCATTCTGTAGTGTCTGTAATGAAAAACAAAATATCACCAGTTCCCTTTGAAGAATTATATCTGACCAAGATAATACCTAACACATCAAACGTAAGGTATGATCTATATGTTTATTATTATGTGTATTGTCATTTCATATGTATCAGTAAAAGTCTTGCAAATTACAGACTGTAGTCATTTTATATATGCTACATAGCATTAAAGCACTCATATGAGAAACATTTTTGGTTATCATCATATTGGAAAGGAAAAGTGGGAAGAAGCTACTACATAGTGCAGGATTTGTTTTATAGCCTAGTTTCAGTATACTGCATGTAGTATAAATGACAGACAATGGCGTGTACAAGTCAAAACAATGAAACAGAAATTACTTCATTTGCAGGTCCACTCATGTAAAATTTCCTAGCACAATGTAAAAGGGTTAAAAGCGTATTTGAACATATGGTGCTACTAATGTTCTTATCATAAATGCTTTTGCTGTAGTTCCAGCAGTTATTACCCTGTGTGACTATGGCAACGCTGGCAAGAGAGAGGTGTCCCTCACAGCAGCAATGTGATAGGTTAACACTTAGAGACAACCTAGAAAAATGTGAAATTATACTCTTTAGCTTTTTCACTGTATATTTTTTTGTTAACTGCGTGCACATGTGCGGACCTGTGTGCATGTCTATGTCTGTTTGTATAAAATAGGCAATGTGTCCACTTTCGGTTGGCCTTTCTAACAGAAGGCTGCCAGCAGAGTAAGGGCCCACATACCAGGTGGATGTAGCACTTGAAGGAGGGGCACTGTGTGTGTCGTGTGCCAGCCACCTGCTGGTGCTGCCGGACGAAACACGAAGAGGAAAACAACACGGATAGGCTGAAGACAGTTTAAGTATTTTGCATGGAAACATCAAAGCTAATTATCTGCTTTGTTTCACCAGGATGTGCTTGACAGTCAGCAACACTGAATTTAGATTTGAGTTGTTCAGAAAATATCAATAATCAAGTGAGATAGGTAAGGTATTCAACAGAGGTGGGACCAAGTCATTGTTTTGCAAGTCTCAAGTAAGTCTCAAGTCTTTATCCTCAAGTCTCAAGTCAAGTCTCAAGTAATGTCAGGCAAGTCAGAGTCGAGTCTCAAGTCACTGGTGTAAAAGTCCGAGTCAAGTCACAAGTCTGAAACTTTGAATTTCAAGTCCTTTCGAGTCTTTAAAAAAAAAAAAAAAAGCATGTTGCAGTTATGCTAAATGTAAATATTAGACCATGTAATTTTAAAATCTGTGTTTTTCTCAACACATGACAAAATAGTGAACTTAGAAAATACACACAAATTGTGAAATTGCACCTCTTTAAAATGCAGCTCAATTAAACCTAGCTCCTAGAATAATTTTCACCGACGGTTCTGAGATAAGCTGCATGTTATTCTTGGATGCGGTTGTAGGACCAGCTTTAAAATCGCATGACAAAAATATCATACATATTAAAAAAAACTGCATCACCAACGTAGCCTGGACAACATTTGCTAGTTAGATGAAGTCAGCTATCTCATTGTAGCATATTTATATGCATATTTATAATCATACGGTTCTTGGAGTGAGTGCATACACTCATGAAGTTTAGTAACTTCAGGTCACTGCAACAAGCCCAGGTACAGTTTACCGCCGGATGGGTGCAGGACCTTGAGATGCACCGTGTAGAACAAAAGACCATCGTACATATCATAAGTTTACCAGTCTCACAAATTGTCGTCATAAATACACATTCCTTAACCGTTTATTAATAGGACCTTTGAGCTCAACGGTAATTAATTAGTAGTGGAAATAATTTCTGGTAGCATCACAGAAATGTAGCAGTGACAATAATATTGTATGCTGTAATCGCACTGGGCAATTAGTGATACAAAAAACCTGTTTTATCCTGTGAATAAAAGTATATGTTTTTGTCAATGTACCATAATAACAGAAGCGAAACGCAATATTGTGTCAGGACAATTCACTATTTATGCACAATAAATAAAGGAGCATAGCGCGACAATTTCTGTTCAGCGCCAGACTTGCTTGTAACCTATATCACCAATTATGTTAACTACAACAGCAGACTGACCTTTGTGTAAATGCTTGGAGCAGACTAACCTGTGAGCTGGAGGGTTCTGGGACGTTATATTTGGTCTTTGAATGGCTGCAATCCAGGACACCTGTCGCCTCTTTGTTACTTCGGAAACATGGCTCGAACAATTTCTCTTCAACGACGTAATCCGATAACAACCGATCTCTTTACCCGTCGGCTTCCCGTGGCTGTCATGCGACCGGCTATTGCAGTTAATAATACAACAGCTTCTTGACATTTTTGTGTTTCTTTTTATCGCTGTATAACTGATTTTAATTGAAAGCCTAGTACCGCTTGCCACGAGTTCCCAGAATCCTTTGCGGTTCTACCCGTGAATGACGTCACATTTTCAATCTCTATATAATATGCATGTTAAATTTTATATTTGGGGTAAAATATCAAGTCTTTTCAAGTAAACCGGTTCAAGTCCAATTCAAGTCCCAAGTCATTGGTGTAAAAGTCCAAGTCAAGTCACAAGTCTTAGAACATTTTTTCAAGTCAAGTCTAAAGTCATAAAATTAATGACTCGAGTCTGACTCGAGTCCAAGTCATGTGACTCGAGTCCACACCTCTGGTATTCAAGCATACCTTGACCCATAGACTGTATATAAGAGATGGACTTACAGGTTCCAGATAAAGCTATTAGGTGCCCTAAACCTGCATTTCAAATTTGACTGAATACAGCATGATAGTTAATCTCTAAACTAAGATCCGGTGTAGGGTCAAATTGATGAATGAAACCGAGTGTTCTTCTGGTCGTGGCTACCTTCTGGTTGATGCAGCACAGAAACTAATCATTTTGATGTGAAGGAGAAAAATTTAAGTTCACTACACCAATGTGACCTTTCTGCCACTGCAGAGTTATCTTAAATACCCCTGATCTAATTTCTATTTGAGTCACACTGCACTAGTCCATATCTATTTTTATTTGGTCCATTTGTTGCTAGTGAACAACCACTGCTGGTCCCAAAGCTGGATAGATGGGAGGGTTGCATCTGGTGTGAAAACAAATAAGGAGATTAATCTGCTGTGGGGAATGAGGGGGCAGTTTACTAATGCCAAAAGTAATTTTAAAAAGTAATTAAAATACATTAACTAAAATTATGATTTAAGAACCCGGTAAATGTTTTCAAATCTTATTTAGGATCAGCCCTAATAACATAAAGACAAGACAATACAAATATTGGTATATTGCATAAAACATAATTTTAAAAAGTCTTCCAAAAACACAAATATTCCTTAATTTAACATACCAGTGAACATACTTACTGTAAACCTGGCTAACAGTTATTGTGCATACAGGATCCTGTCCATACCTGCTGGAGCACATAGTTATACATGTATCTGAGCCAATACGTGTGCATCTGCTGATCTGCACGTCTGCATTTTGAGAGGTTCAGGGTTAGCTTAAGTGCAGCTGTACTGTAATAACACAGGTTTTTTGTTTCTTTGTTTTGTTTTTCATCTCAGATTTCTGATCTGAAACTTATCGTTTCAGCCTAATTGGTTAACAGTGACCACTGCCACTAGATGGCAACATTGCTTATCACTTGAGTTTAAGGCAAAGACCTGTGACCACTAAATAATTTCTCCCTTCCCCCCCTGCAGAAGGCAGTCTCTCCAGTGGCAGGCAGTGGGAAACCCTAGATGCAGGGGAGTGTGGAGACGTGTGGGGAGGCTGGAAGCTTGTTCCAGCTCAACAGTCAACAGCTTCCTCTTCATCTAACCTCGTCCTGCTTTCTTCTGATGGCCTGCATTCTGTACATACAATGATCACTTTTCATGTGATTTTTACTTACATAAATTTACAGTTTTATTCACATAGCACCAAATTACAACAGTAATTGCCTCAAGGCTCTTTATATTGTAAGGTAAAGACCCTACAATCAAACGACCCCTTTTGAACAAGCACTTGGCGACATTGGGAAGGAAAAACTCCCTTTTAACAGGAAGAAACCTCCAGCAGGCTCAGGGAGGGGCCTGAGCCTGTATAAACACACAGTGAAAGAGTGAGTGAGTGAAGAAGAAGCACTCAGTGCATCATGGGAAGCCCCTAGCAGTCTACTGCAGCGTGACTAAAAGAGGTCACCTGATCCACCCAGCCAGAATAATGGTTACTAAACCTGTTTATATGAATAGTGCTGATCAATGCACAACTGTAGCTTTCTCAAACAGCTTAGTATAAATTTCGATATGTCAGAAAATAACATTAGTTGAACTATTATGTGCTGGAAACAGTGAAATCAAAGCCAACAATTCTTAATCAAAATGTAAAGTGATCTGATTTATTTCATTTTTGATTCATTTAAGGGAAACGTTGCTTTTTATTAAGAAATAAAAATATCTTGGGACATTGAGACACTTTCTTTTAACATGTAAAGTACTGGCTCTGTGTGAATCACAACCAGTTACAACGCCAAAGTTACAACATGCACTGAACAATAGAACATTTATACAGAAACAACAGCATAGAAAGTCAACAGGTAAAAATGTTTTTCTCTTTTTGTTTTTGTTTTACAAAACAGACAGCCTCGGGACCTACAAACAACATTGTATAAGAGCTGGCTAAGGTCATTCAAATATCTTTTTTCAATTCCCTGGAAACAGTGTACTTTACAAAGACTGATGGCTTAGGCAAGGTTGGGGTCAATTCCACTGAGAGGTTAAAATATAGGGAAAAAATAGTTTATGTTTGAATTTGTCCGTTTCTCATGCTTTAATACTGCTTTTTATTATAGCGCCACGTGTGATGTGTTTTGTGCACCACCTTGAATCGACCCCAACCCTGTAATACAGTGTTAGATTCAAAGAATGTGGAATTGGACTACTTGCTAAAGCAGTAGTTCTCACCAGGTTTTGGAAACTATCACGTCCTTGAAAAAGTCCTGTGGGGTTTGAAGAATAAATTAAAGAAATAAGAAAACAAAAGAACGGAAACTCCTTTAACCTCTTTTTAAAATTTAGCAGCTAGCTAAACAATTCAATTCTCTTTTAGATTTTAACTAAATGCCTAATACTGTACAGCTGGGAGTCATATGGGATGATTAGGAATTGTATTTATAAAAATCTTAGAGAACTTGTGCTCTTAATTTTAATTGGTATCAATAAAGAAGAGGTGAAAGAAGTCACTAGATTGTGTTGTCTTGATAAAGAGTCATGGTTTAGTCCTTTGATTCACATCGGATTGCTCCACAGGGAACCTCGGTGAAATTAAAAGGTCTGCTATACTATTAGATTCAATTAATTTGAATGGCTCCCTTGAAAATGGAGTGGATTTAAGCGTCCAAATAAAATGAAATGAAGCTAAATGTAGAAATGAAAGACACTTTTTTTTTTACTATTATTATTATGGTGGTATTGTGTCACAGTATCACAGTCTAAATATGAAATCAAACATCATACTTGATGTTTCTTTGCTCTCTCCTTTCTAAAAGCTTAATTCTAAGAATGCTAGTGTCAGGATTTCAGTACTTGTAAGTGTGTGCGCACATGGTTGTGCATTTGCGTAATATTTTTCCAAGATAAATCTCAGGTCTCTACACTAGTGCTTGCTGCCCATTCGTGATATATTGATTGTCATCATTGTTGAGAGATATTTCAGTGAAAAATGGTCCCTGACTACAATAATATAGAAAACCGAAATGATAGGACAGAAGCTCACGTGGTGCTTAAGGAGGGGTTGTGTGAGCTCAATGCCCTTCATATTTCATATTTATCTCTTAGTTCACCCTAAAATATTTGTCTGGCTGCTTTTTGTTTTTTCTTGACTCAAGTAACAAAATCAAAATGGACAGTAAGGTATAATCAGGTGAAATAAGTTGAACTGTATTTTTTCTTGTTGAAACTGAAGAAAATAAAATCTGTTTGACTAAATTTGTCATGAATTCCTTTGGGATTTAACCTGTGACTTCAACCTCAGGAAAATGTGAAGAATTACAGACATTTACTGGACAGTATACATGTAGGAACGTAACCAAAGAACATTACCAGACCAGAGACCATCTGGATCGTTTTCAATACCCACAGTCAACTGTTGTGCAACAGGATATTTTCTTATAACAAAAATCTATTTAACAGCTGTTTGTGGGTAATTATTGTAATTTTTTATCATTGTGGGGGATTTTTTTGTTTTTGTTTTTTTGGTACTTCAAATAAAGAAAGACATTAAATAAAAAAAAATATCTACACACACAGGAAAAATGTAAAGGTGTAATACAACGTGAGTCAATGAGATGAAGCTATTCTCAGTACAGTTATCTGCTTAATTATACTAAACATGATTCATAAAATGCTCCTCCCATATCTCGTTTCCCAGCTATAAATAAAGCTGCACTTCAAAAACATCGACTAAAAATAATCCTATTTTCTCACACAACTCTAATATTTTCTTTGTGTTGCAATCTGCATTACTGCTGCATGTTACAGTCAGGACTGTAGATGGAATAGAGAGAAAACAAAAGGCAGGATTCCCCCAGCCCGCACATTCATATTGGAAACAGTTCATTCTTTTCCATTAAGCAGCAGCCACACTGCTATAATGCCCCAGCTTCACAGCAGTCTCCCTTTCTCTCTCTCTCACACACACACATACACACAGTTCCCTCTGCTTCTCGCAGTCGTTGGTATTCCTTTCACACCTCAGCTCCTCTCACCATGGGAGAGCAATATGAAATGGTCCAACTCTGTGATTAAAACAGGAAGTGAAATCAGGATTTGTGATTAGACTCTAAACTACAACACTAAAACGATATGTGTCAATCAACTTAGGTTGGATAAATTCTGAAAAAATAGATTTATAATAGTGCAATGCTCTTATTTGCGTGCATCATTTGCCAGTATATTTGTGTCAGGAAAAGACTGAGAAAGATTTTAAAGTTATTCTTTTTTCTTTTGACAGTATATTTTGTTGGCACTGAGGTTCTTTGCTCATCTTGTTAACATTTGTGAAAGATGTGATGACAGAAGGCGTACTGTACCTACTCAAAAGACTTTTAAAGACGTTACAAAAACCTTGTACTTTTGCACTAGAAATTAGATTTCAAGAGATTGTGGAAGGACTCTTGATACTGTAACTCAGCTTATGTTAATGAGTGGAAATCTTGTATATAAAAGATGGACTTAGCTTTAAAGTAAATCCCTTACATAAGTGCTGAAACATTTAATATTTCTGATGTCCAATGGCTGCAAAAGAGAAAGTCTTTCAGAAAGTTATTCCATTGCTCTCTTAGTTTAGGACCATGGTAAATACTTTTCTGTTGAGTTCATGTTTGCAATCCCGTCTTCCAAGTCTTATTAATCATGTTTTTTTCTTTTTATAGGAAGCAGGTGAAAGAGAGCCTGGAGAGGTGGAGGTATGCGCTGGAGAGAAGAGGAATGAAAATCAGTAGAAGCAAGACAAAATACATGTGTGTGAATGCGATGGAGACAGGCGTAACAGTGAAGGTACAACGAGCAGAAGCAGTGAAGGTGGATGAGTTCTAATACCTGGCGTCAACCATTCACAGCAATGGATGGTGAAGAAGAGAAGAGTGCAGGCAGGGTGAAGGTGAGTAACATGGGTGATTTATGACAGCAAAATGTGAAAGAGAAGTGTGGAAGCATTGGGAGTGACCAGGATGGACAGGTCAGGCAGGAGGAAAAATGAAGAAGACCACAGAGAAGATTCATAGATGTAGTAAAGAAGGACATGAGAAGAGTTGGCGTGGCAGAAAAGAATGCTAGGGACAGGGTGATAATCCTGTGGTGGACTCTTGGTTGATTCTCGTGAAGGAGTCGCTCTCATGACTCATCCAGTGACATCACTACCTGCCTAATCAGTGGCATGCAGTCTGTTGACGTCAGATTTTCAGCTCAACTCAGCTCACTTGGGAACGTACTAAAAATACTGGTGGACACCCCTCAGCCAGTAGATCCAGATATGGTATAAACTGGAATATCTTAGGTGGGGTCTGTCTGGAGTTATCACATTCATAAGATTTTCAGAAAACTTAATCTCTAAACTTGACCTTGACATTGAGGTCATGACATTCCAACTCGTCTGAGATTTTTGCTAGGTGCACCTACGGTATGAATGTCAACATCGCCTCGTTTTGAGTGGTCGCATTCACAACTTAGGTGACCACACTGCTCGCCCGCCAGTGACATCAATACCATATCAGCCTTTTACGGTTGAAGGGTAAAAAGTACCTGATAACAGGAACCACTGAGTCGAGTCAAACTAACTAGGTACTAGTGGAACAGAGGCTAAAATGCTCCAGGCACCAGTGGCTGATTTCACATTGGCTAAGTCCATGTTTCATATACAATCTGGCGTGTAAAGCAGCACTTAATATATTTTTAAGATCACGAGGACCACTTCTGTTTTGCCTCTCTCACCATTTACAATCTGTATGAAGAGTGCAGCAATTCTTGTTAAGCAACTGGTCCTCACTATACTATGTAGCAGTGTAATCACACAGGCATACGGAGAATTGTGTCTGCCAATCCAGGGGATAACAGAACATATATTAAAACTGAATTCATGAACATAAATAATAAAGTACAAAGTCCTTATATTATAATGTTAGATTTACACAGTACTCATGAATATGCACAGTGAGGAGTGGCTCAGCTAACATGCAACTACTGTCGCTTTATGGGTTCACGTGTCTCCGTGTGTGATTCGTAAAAGTGTGTGAGCATATGTTACATGTAAGTCGACCTTCGCCACTCCAATTAACAAATCACTGCTTAGCTGTTGCCAACATTTGAGGGAAACAGCTATCACCATGGAAACTAAACGTATCTATGGTATCCTGAAAATTGTCTCCAGTACCTGGATGTATAGTTTGCCGGTGTGTGTGTGTGTGCACTCATGCATGAGTTTTATCAATTCTGGCATTTGCACCCGATTAATGGTAAGCTGGGTAGATTGCGGACTGTTTTATATATATATATATATTTTTTATCATTTAAGAAACAAAATAGGGGTTGGATAACTCCCCTGCTTTTGCTGTTTTATACACATATCGTTCATGCATTTGTGAACAATTTGGCTGCTTTTATGTTGGTCAAACGAAGGCTGATGCATGCTGAACAACTGCTCTAAACATCATGTCAGTAGGCTAGGAGGATTTCCTTATATATGTTTTTTTTTATTTAGAGATGATGGACAAGCAAATCATCATGTTATTTTATGTTATGAGACTGGGTACACGCATGCTTTCATAATGTGCATTTTATGCAGCAATCCGCATAATTCTTTCTTTTGTTAGCCCATGTCAAAAAGAAACCTCTTGATCCAAAAAAAAGATTCTAATGTGCTAGGAAATCTATCCGTCATTCGATCATTCACTCTCACCAAGACAGGTTAACATGAGTTAGCAAAACACTGTTAACAGGAAAAGTGGTCATTATAATGCATGATGAGCTGGAGCAGCGTCTGTGCCAAAACACTGAACCTCATACGAGATAACTCTTCACATGTGATTATGACACAGCAGACCAGAAATGTACTTATTTCTAATAGGAACTTTCTCTTATCTATAGAAAAATAAATCAGGCTAGACAATCTCAAGAGTGTGTGTACATGAATTATCATTTGGCCATTCATTACTGTTCACTCTCTCTTGCTCTGTCTCTTATAGACGCAGGCACACATATAAGCAGACATACACACCCCTACGAATGTAAATGACTAAGGCCAGGTTTGGGAATGGAGGGCACAAGTAAGTAGCTTATAGGCTTCTAGGTCCTCTCCTGTATCTTCAAGACTACAAAATCAATCGGGACTTAGTTCTGGAAAGTGGCTGCGGGGATTTTTTAGAGATAACCCCCTGCGACTAAAACCATCATTTAGCTGGGTTTCGCACTTATAACTACAGCTTTATTTCTCTGATGACTCTACATCTCTGAACAGACCCATTGGCTACTTGGGATTGCTCTTTTGTTGTGTGTGTGGAATATCTCCTTATAGGAATGAGCTGAAGGAGGGGCAGTGACATTCTTCAATTAAGAAATGTTTTTCTCCCAGAGTATTCACTACACATGTTCACCCAAGGCTTATTGCCCAGTGGCATGCTCAGGTAATTTGTGAAATGTTTTAGCGAGACCGGTTGTCTCGCCTTCCTTTGTCTCTGGCTTGGAGTGTTTTAGCCTACCAAAAACACTCTGTCCCAAACTTGCTGTTAGTTTTTGCTTCACTTGCACCTCAGAGGCCTTTATCCAAAGTATTTTGACGTCCCCTCTCAGCCTTTGGTCTACGTGTCATCTCTGGTCCTATGTGATTTTCATGAGCTAGCCCACGAATCCCTTCTAGCGGGAACAGACAATTCTGACCCAGCATTTTCTGGGCTGCTTCTAAATGGTTAGTGCCCCTCTGGTAATTTATATTAATGCTGCGTTTCGGGCTTGCATCAGCCAGGAGACGCTCAGAGGGACTGGTGTCAGACATGTCACGGAGGTGCTCATCATCGTCTGTATCGGCATCAATGTACTTGCTGATGGAGGAGTCATGGAAGGTGAAGACAGTTGGGGCCAGGGGAGTGCCTTCTGGAGACTTTGGTGGGGTCCTGCTGCTGGCAGTAGTGTACGCAGAGGTTTCGGGGCTTAACAGAGAGTGATCTGACACAACTGAGCTGTCTGAAAGTGGGGAAAGTCCTGATTCCCCGTCACTGCGGCAGCCTCCTTTGGGAATAAGGCTTTTTGAGGAGATTCCAGAAAAGAAAAATTTCCTTGTGCTGTCCATCTTTGTGACAGACACAGGGGTCAGCATGGGCTCACGGTCCCCTGTTGTTTGCTGGCCGGTTTTTGTATTGGTGTGCTGGGACAATGCTGTCGCTGGACTGTATGAGAAGCGGTTGCTTTCCTGAAGACCAAGATCTATTGCGGGACTGTGGGAGAAGCGTGGATTCTCCTGGAAGTCTGTTGCACAACTAATGTAGCTGTCAATGCTGGATAAGCTTTTCATGTCTCCAACTCCATCCCTGGTTCCTAGGGCTTGTTGACCATGGTCATGTATAGCCCCCAGCTCTATCTCATCCCTCTGTTTACCAACTCTGGAGGCCCTTTCTTTAGCATTGAGGTTGGGTTGTGACTGTGTCTTTGCCATCTGGTTGTACATCTCTTCTAGTTTCTGAACATTTAACCTCTGGGGACTGGTGGCTCGGGCCTTGCTGGGAGAGCCTAACTCCTGGGCATTGAAAGAACGGTTTGAGCTTGTCTCTGATGCAGCCCTCTTGGGAGTCCATTTCCAGCGGCTGGGTGAGAGGTGGTTGTCATGAGGCCTCTCACTCTTCTCCACCACCACATCCATCAGCTCTGCACTACGTGCAAATGCTTCTTTCAAGTTCATTGAGACAATGCTGCCATTTCTCTTTGCCCTTTCTAAGGCTTCTCTTCTTTTAAGGGCCTTTTCTTGCCTCTTCTGTTCCTTATAGAATTCAGAAAAGTTATTTACAATAATAGGAATAGGTAGAGCGATCACAAGTACTCCAGCTATGCAGCATAACCCCCCGACAATCTTTCCCAAGAGAGTTTTGGGGTAGATGTCACCATAGCCCACTGTGGTCATAGTAATTGTAGCCCACCAGAAAGAAGCTGGAATGCTTTTAAACTTTGTATCCTCTTCATCCTTCTCAGCAAAAAATACCAGACTGGAGAAAATCATGATACCCATGGCAAGGAAAAGAATAAGTAGGCCCAACTCATTGTAACTCCTCCTAAGGGTAAAACCCAGAGACTGAAGACCTGTAGAGTGACGAGCCAGTTTCAAGATACGTAGAATACGCATGATCCTAAAAATCTGAACCACACGCCGAACATTTTGAAACTGTAATACACTCTTGTTGGATTCTGTCAGGAAAATGGTGACGTAGTAGGGCAGGATGGCCAACAAGTCAATAACATTTAGAGGACCCTTAAAGAACTTCCATTTATTCGGGGAGGAGAGGAAACGGAGCAGGTATTCCATGGTAAACCAGGCAATGCAGACAGCCTCCACATGGGCAAGTTGAGGGTTGTCTGTGGATTGGCCAAACTCATCTGTATCCTGTAGCTCTGGTAGGGTGTTCAGAGACAGGGCAATGGTGGAAAGCACGATGAAGAGGATGGAGATGATGGCAAGTATCTGAAAGACAAAATTAGTCAATATGAGATTTTATGCATCAGAGAATGGCTTACAGTAATTAAAACTTTGGTCACTTGAGAGGTTTTGTTGCAGACATTGAAGACACTCAGCGAGCTCAAGGTGTTGGGAACAGCAAACCCGCTAAAAACCTTGAAAACTGCACTCAGGTGTATTTAGAAGAAATGGTACTATTTTAAAGACAAAACAAATTTGGTATAATTTACCTTTTTCTATTTACAGCTTTGTGTACGATATTGCATGAAAAACATTTTTTCGCCTTAATGACTTAAACTTGAAGTTGAAAGCTGCATTAAGTGGAAACTATGAAATTGAAATCATCGTCAAGTGTGCACTTTAGCATACTTTTATTACCTGATCACACAATTAAGCTATATGCAAGTAATTAAACTATAACAGTTTAAATAAACCTTCTATAAATGCTTGACTGACAGTGTGACTGCCTGAGAGCTAATGGATTAGACAAACTTGGACCACTTATTTATTCATAACTCACTTATCAGGCTGATCCACATGAGTGAGTGTGCTTGAGTGGACAATTATGTTTAGCACCAATCAACAAAAACAAAAGTATCACAGCAACACATATCAGACTCACTGAATAATTTTCTAAAACATAAAACTGGGAACTGGGTAAAACAGTAAATGCTTATTTTTGGTGTAGAAAGTTTTTTTTAAATGATATTTTATGACATTTTCCAAACTGGAGGTTGGACAGAGCCCTCGAGAGCTCAAATGGGCTCTTGAGCACTTACCCCTGCGCTGAAATTGTCATGTTAAGATAATTAAGATGAGCCTACCATTATCACAGAGTGCTGAACCTACTTGCTAGCCACAAAATCAGTGACTAATTGAAAGGCTTCGGTGCTCTCTATTTAAAAGTAGGATAAAGGTAAAACATAATCCACATGTAGTTTTACACTGTTTTCTCCCATTATGGTCTCTCTAGAATTACTGAGGAGAGACCTCTCACTCGCCGTCACTTGACACCATCATGTAATGAAAATGAACCTGCAATAACCACATAGGAGCAGAATGTCCCCAGAATCTACTGCACTTGATGATGCTGATGATTCACTTTACGCAGTACACAGAACTGGGAAGTCTGTCAAAAAACAGCACCCTGACCCACACACACACGCTACCCCACCCACTCTCCACCAATCATGCTAACAAGCACGTACGTGGTGGCAGACTACACCTCTCTGAGCACTGACAGCACCCCCATCAACCAAGATTCATTGTGTAAACAAAAAAATGGTTGCGTTTGCTTTGAAGAATGTTATTCTTGAGTTTGTTTGATCTGAGTAAATGACTGCGTAATATTGTATGAAAAATACTTGAGAAAATGTTGCAGTGCCATCCAGCTTGCGATATACCATCAAGTCCAGCTCTCACACACACACACACACACACACACACACACACACACACACACACACACACACACACACACACACACACACACACACACACACACACAAAACAAAAATAGCTAGAATGATTTTACGTCTAACTTTGTAGAAGACAAAAAACTTAGTTATGCCTCATATTAAAGGTTAGTTTACAAAAATCACTTGAATGAAATCTTGAGGTTTGATTTGATTTAGTATGACACTTTAAAATTTTAGTCCTCGAGCTGTCATGTGGAACAGTAGCTCCCGAAATGGTCTAATAAGGAACACTGTGCCGAAAAATAATATCGGGGTTAGATAAACAAAGACAGATGGACTATGATGTAAATAAAGCAAAGAGTTTTTCTCTTTTTTACCTCATTTCCTACTAAGTTAGACAGATGTCTAAATTTATCTGTTGCACAAAGAACTTTAGTTGCTAACTAGTCTAAAAAGAAAAACTTTTAATAATAATAGTAATACAATTTATTTAAAAGCGCCTTTCAAAACACCCAAGGACACTGTACAGAGCAAAAAAGACAAGCATAAAAACAGGAAATAAACACATTAATAAAAGAAGGTTTAAGAGCATATGAGTTCAATGAGTTCTGGGCAAATTATACCTTTTGAAGAAGAAAAACAGCTGAGTTCACTATTTGTCGTTCTTTTCTCTGGCTGAAAGATACTTGTCCTCAACACCTGACCATTACAAGGATGTTTTAACTGGAAAATTTAGCAGCACAGAATTTCAATAATTTTTTTAAATGTTAGGAAAAAAATGATAGTAACAGTAGATAGTGTAAATAGCATTGGAAACTTCCTGTTGCCTTAAATCGCCTTTAATGCAGTCAAACAAAAATGGCAGATCACATATTGACCATTGATTCAACAGTGTTTAGTCTGATTAGGGTTGTCACCAGAACTGATACTTATAGTACCATTTGACACACACAGTGGCCGTTGTTTTTGGGTTTTCAATAATGTATCAGCATAAAAAACCTAAAAGATTTGTCACAAATTATAATCTACTACCAATGGATTCTAAAAATTACTGTCAGATTAGAAACTCTTTTGCAACAGTGTCATCTTCACTTCCTTCAGCGCACACACATTTACACACAGACAGACAGACACACCGCCCCTCCCCTCACTAGCAGCTGAACACGTGAAGAGCAGCAGAACAAACTTGATGAACACGGACACCTTAGCCTTTATGGAACATTTTGTGAGGTCAGTAAAACTCCTGTTTCAACAAAATTTAAGTATTAATTACCATAAGCATTAACCTGGCCAGTGCACACATTGACATAACCATTTAGCTATAATCAGTTATCTACATTAGCTGTTTGTTTGGTTATTGTCACAAGATAGTGGCTAACAGCTATGGCTAATTATAAAATGATAACATTAATATGCCCATTTGTATGATGATAACACGATTATTTGTGTCTGACATTTTTCTCTTAAGGGCAAACAGTGAAGCTGAGGAAACTATACCAAAACGGCAGCTGCATAGCTTACCAGCTGATCTGTAACAAAGCTATGGTGTCAAGTGAGAGGCACAGGAAATAAAACAGGACTGTAGATGAATATTTTTGCATATATTCCTTTTATTTTTGTCCTTCTCCCCCCTAGTGGTCTTGAAAATGTTATTGAACATTGCATATTTTCCTGATATTGAGTTTGTGGCTTTCTGTTCTGACTGGTCTAGGCTCTTCTCTACTTTTTTCATTCTTTGAAAAACTTTTGTTAAAGGGAACTCTAGTCAGTTGGATGGCTATAATTACAAGACTAGGAAACGTTTACAGCCAGAAGATTAATACTCGCTTAATCACTTTCTTTTGTGAACCAGACCTCAACTAACTACAGTGCAGACAAACAAACACCTAAAGAAAAACCGTGTAAAAAGCAACTAGTATGGACCGGGGATGTCAACAGCCTTCAGCCTGAGTTAGTAAGGTTTAGAAGAAGGTGGCTATGCCACACTGGATTCTACTCTGGCTGCTTTTCACCAGTTTGTGAATTGTTCCACAAGGAGCAACAGGACAATTGACCTACTGTATGCTAATGTGAGAGATGCATACAGAGCCACCCCCCTCCCCCCACTAGGGAAGTCAGACCACAACCTGGTTTACCTACAGCCACAATACACACCCCTCGTCCAAAGGCAGCCTGTCACAACGCGCTCCATCCGGAGATGGACCCCAGAAAAGGAGGATGCTCTGAGAGACTGCTATGACACCACAGACTGGGATGTGCTCCTGAGCCCACATGGTGAGGACATAGAGGGGGCGACACACTGTCTTACAGACTACCTCAACTTTTGTGTGGACACAGTCGCCCCTGCTAAGACGGTACGGTGTTATCCTAGGCAAGGCAAGGCAAGGCAAGTTTATTTGTATAGCACAATTCAACAACAAGGTGATTCAAAGTGCTTTACAGAGACATTAGAAACAAGAACAAATAAAAAGCATGATTTAAAATTGAATAAAACAAGCAAATAAACTAACTAACTAATTAACAAACAAACAAACAAACAAACAACAGTATATAAAATCAAAACAGATAAAATCAGAACAATAGATAAGATCAGTAGTTAAATGTAAGTTTTGAAATTTAAGCTTAACAGTGTGGATTTGGTGCTTTATTCAAATGCAGCTGAGAACAGGTGAGTCTTCAACCTGGATTTAAATAAACTGAGTGTTTCAGCTGATCTGAGGCTTTCTGGGAGTTTGTTCCAGATATAAGGAGCATAAAAGCTGAATGCAGCTTCTCCGTGTCTGGTTCTGACTCTGGGAACTGCTAAAAGACTGGATCCAGATGACCTGAGGGATCTGGATGGTTCATACTGGGTCAGGAGGTCATTGATGTATTTTGGTCCTAAACCATTCAGAGCTTTATAGGCCAGCATCAGAACTTTAAAGTCTATCCTCTGACGGACAGGCAGCCAGTGTAAGGACCTCAGAGCTGGACTGATGTGGTCCACTTTTTTGGTCTTAGTGAGGACTCGAGCAGCAGAGTTCTGAATGAGCTGTAGTTGTCTGACTGATTTTTTAGGTAGACCTGTAAAGATGCTGTTACAGTAATCAAGCCTACTAAAGATGAATGCATGGACTAGTTTTTCCAGGTCCTGTTGAGACATCAGATCTTTTATCCTTGAAATATTCTTGAGGTGATAGTAAGCTGACTTTGTTATTGTCTTAATGTGTTTTTCTAAGTTTAGGTCTGCATCCATCACTACACCCAAATTTCTCGCCTGGTTTGTGGTTTTTAGGTGTATAGATTGAAGTTCTCTGGTGACCTGTAATCGTTTTTCTTTGGCGCCAAAGACTATTACCTCAGTTTTGTTTTTGTTTAGCTGGAGAAAATTGTGGCACAACCAGTCATTGATTTCCTCAATGCATTTACCAAGAGCCTGTACAGGGCCTCGGGCTCCTGGTGACATTGTGATATATATTTGTGTGTCATCTGCATAGCTGTGATAGTTTATTTTGTTGTTGTTTATAATCTGTGCCAGTGGGAGCATGTAGATGTTAAACAGAAGGGGTCCCAAGATGGAACCTTGGGGAACTCCACATGTGATACTTG